TCCCCAGTGGCTGTTCAATGTTGTTACAGTACCACAGTTTCCCAGCTCCGGTGTCAGATCCGACACTATCAAACCGCCTCATTGCCGCGCCCTGGTTGACGCCAACAGCATCTCGCAGCCCGCATGGGACCTGGGAACTGCTTTTCTGCAGGTTCCGCTATCCACGTGGTCGCGCGGGGCAACCACAAGGTCGACTGAAAAGACGAAAATAAGTGTGTAACGAATGCCTGGAGTGAAGGTTTCAAAAGTCTAACCACTGATTTTTAGTTTTAAGCCTAAAAATAATATTAAAAAACAAAAATAACCTACAAAAAAATGCAGGCTCTTATCCAGGGGTGACAGCTAGGGGGCGGTACTTCCGGGTCAGGTAGGCCGGCTGACTTGACCTTCCTCGCCGCTCTGCCATTTTGTCCCAGTCAGTCCGGAGGCTGCGGCAGCAGAGTAACTACCCGAGGAGACGTTGCAAAGATGCTGTCCGTGCGCGTTGCCGCGGCCGTGGCCCGCGCCCTTCCTCGGCGAGCCGGGCTGGTGAGCTCTGGGGACCCGCAGGAGGGAGGTGGCCCGCGAGAGCTGCAGCGAGCTCCGGCGCTTTCTGCAACGAGAGTGAGGGGCTGTGGCGGGGGCCGCCATCTTGCACCGATGGCTGTCGCTAGAGCTGGACGCTGCAGGGGGACCCCTTTTGCTCGCCACCTGTTATGAAGGGTGTAGGGAGGTGCTGTAAGGGAGACAGTGACCTTGATGTTGCCCAGACATAAGGCCTCGGTCGGGAGGATTCCTGCCTCCATTCGACAGCCTCCCGAAAGGAGGTTTTGGCTGAAGGTCAGGACTTGAGCGCTAGATCCCCGAGGCCTGTACTGAAATCGCGAGGCTCGTCCCCGCTGATTCTCCGGGACTCGCCCCGCTGAAGGTCAGAGGACTGTGCCACCTCTTGTTGAATAGCGACTAAGGGGAGCCTGACATTGTATGAAGGTCACCAGGCCCCGGTATTCACCTCCGTCCGGAGGTCGGTGCAGAAGAAAGGAATAAATGAAGGTGCTTTCTTGACTTCTTAAGTAAGCGATCTTTTGGTGCTGCGTTCTGAAACGATTGTGAGGGGAAAACGTACAGGTGCAAAGAATCATTTCATGTGACCAATTCCGTGATAACGATGAAGTTGGTTTTTAAATTGTTTCAGTCTGGCAGAAAGAAGATTGTGCTTTGCGGGACTGTGGCACGTTTAAAAGAGTTCGTCTTTGAATTGTCCACCTGGTATTTTGAAGAATTATTAGACCGTGATTGGGAACTCCCCAAGTAAAACAAACCATAATTGAAAAATGCATGTAAACGTCATCGCCCTTCGTAGTTTATCTGCCTTGAACATAAGAACATAAAAATCTTTACATAGACACATAAAATATAAACCTAGAAATAAACGCATTTGAATTATTTTTTTAATCTTAAAATTAATCTTAATTTGAAAGATGACATCAGTTCACTGGCTGTTTTGTTGCTCTTACACGACTAGTAGTAGCGTGTTGGTTTTCTGTAGCAAAAAAAAAGGCTTTTTAACGATTTTCTTCCAGAAAGTGGAAATACTCCACCCTTAAAGTCTGTTTCACTTATGGAGTTCTCAGTCAGTGTCTAATAATTGCTCAATGAACAGAATGTGTCACTGATAGTCTGTCTGCATTTGTTTAAGCTTGTCAGTTATATAAAAGATTTTCTTAAAAAGTCGATTTCTTAAATATATTTTTGCATTAGGTCTCCAGAAATGCTCTTGGGTCATCCTTCATTGCTGCCAGGAACCTCCATGCCTCTAACACCTGTCTTCAGAAGACTGGTGAGTTTTTACTTCTAGGTCTGCAACATAGGTTACAACACTTACATAGCTCTTGTTTGTTTGTTTGTTTTTCACTTGTTTGATGGCATCAGATAAAACGTTTGTTTCTAAATTTTAATAACATTTATATCACACTGACTATACTATCTTATAAACTGTAAGTGAAAAAAATCTTTATTTCATATTTTCTAATTGCCTTTACTTAATGGTATTTTCACTTAGTTTTTTTTTCTTCTCTTATTTTCACTTATTGTGGAATTTCATATTCTTAACCTGAAATGTGCTATTTATTTAGTCCTGTCCTGGTAGGTTCTTTCAATCTAGTGAAAAATAGTTTTGCCGCCCCCACCGCCATTAGTATATATATTTTTTTAATTGTGATTTGGGTGAAAATTTACACAGCAAATTCACTTTCCATACAGCAGTTCACATACACTTTGTCTTCTAACATTGACAACAATTTACCCCAGTACAACAGCTCCCTTCCTACTTCCTCCCGATAGTTACCTCTTCCCTGTATCCATCCTTTCATGCACTCCTGCCCCTTGAGCTGTCTCCCTGTGCATAAACAGCCCTTCTTCTCCATGATTGTTCTCTCCAAGGAGTGTATCTACCTCAGGGAAGTGTTCAACTCATATGCCTGTCTTTTGTTTGGCTGGAAGCCACAGGTGTGGGTTCAATTCCAGAACTGAAGGGCAAGTAGGGGCCATAGTCTCAGTGGTTCCACCAGGCTTTATCAGACCAGCAAACCTGGTCCCCCCTCTTTTTTTTTTCCAAATGATTTTGAGTTTTGTTCTACATTGTTCTCCCTCTCTCCAGGATCTCCTCCATAGATCCCCCTCAGAGTGGTTGACATTGGTAGCTGGGCACCATCTAGTTCTTCTGGTCTCATAGTCATACAGGCTGTGGATTGCATGGTGTACCAGTCACTAGGACTAATTGTTTCCATGAGTCTTTGGTTTTGTTCATTCTTCTTTGCTCTGGATAAGGAGAGACCCATCGTTGCATATAAATGGCTGAGTATAGCTTCTTTTTGATAATGTCTAGCTTCTTTGTTTTGATAATGCCTTTTTCATAAAAACAGAAAGTACACACACCAGGTGATGGGTACCTTTTCTGGTCTCTGAAAGATTTCTTCTTTTCTTTTCTCCAAAAGCTTTAGAAAAAAGGAAGAGATTTTTACCTATAGATTTTTCAGTGTCAGTAACTGCTAACCTTCCTTTGGCATTCTGAATTTGCTTGTTGCAGATGTGATAAGAGAAGGGCAGCCTTGAGTTTAGAAAGATAGAATCTTGTTTGTTTTATTTTCAAATGTAATTTGATTATTATAATGACAAAACTAGTTTTTATGTTGCTTGGGAAAATAGGTTTTAAGAAGATCTTGGAGCTGGATTCTTTTTTTAATGGAGT